CCCCCCAGCCAACATAATACCCCACAAACAACCTACCACAACAAAGATTCCCACCTCCCACCTCCCCTTACTTCACCCCAAATCCACCCACTCCCTATCTTCCCCCCCCCAGCACCATTACCGTAACTCAAAACCACTTGATAGCGTTTGTAAAGTATAAGAAAATCCCCATTTATTCTTATATCTTACGGATCTGAAACTTCTACGAGGATAGAGTAAAGAGATTTTATTTTCAGAAGACTTAGATTTAGAGTTAAACGAAAGGGTATTTTTAAGGAGTCTTAAAATATAAGTACAGGAAGAGAAGAGAAGTAGTGGTAAAGTTTCTAAGGATTATTGATTAGATGGTTAATGAAAATAGAGCTATACTACGAATAAACACGAATGAATACCTCAACGTACCTACACACACCATCCCATCCAACAAATAAACACCCCAATCAAAAAGAACACAACAGAGTAACATTCTCACTAGAAGTCTTCGTATATCTATAATTAGGAATATATGCACCTACCAAAGAATTTAAGAATCGCAGCGCAGCATCCACAAACCCCAAAACCCATACCTTCCCACTCAACAACCACCTTAACTCAGCACCCCAACCTCAAGATCCCTCACAACCAACCATCCACCCAACCATCCACCCAAAAAACCACCACCCAGCAACCACCAAACCCAAACACCACCAAACCCATCCTATAACACTCTCTGTATCATTTCACCCCACTTAACCAGGTCCAAGGAAAGTGCAGTAAAACCATCAACTCTCCTCCCTCCTCTCTCCTCTCTCCTCTCTCCTTACATAACACTAGCCCCAAAAAACCCACAATAGTAACATACATATAAAACCATAGCCATAAGCCATAGCCATGAGCCAAAGGAAAGGTACTCCCATATACCTACCATACAATACTCTGAGCCTTATTCGCGGGGGAAGGACGGGACGGAACGAATGGTTTCGACAGCCTACAAGATGATAAGATGATAAGAGGAGTGGATTTGATTCAGTACGAGTAGGTAGGTAAGTGGAGATGTCGGAACGAGTAGAGTACAGTATAGGACGTGTTACACGCCGCCGCGGATGGAAAATGGACCTTGCTTTCGACTCCTTCGAGAGACCAGATGAGGGGATGGGAGAGAAGAAAGGAAGAGTTGGAAGGTCAGGTAGTAGAGAATAAAGAATGAAGAATGAGGAATGAGGAAGGTGGTAAAGCACACGAGACGAGCATCACGGGAGGGAATACCCCACCATACGAGTCATCCACAACACCATCACCATCAGGAAACCACTCATCACGAGAAGAAAACAAGAGAGAGAGCTCGAAACAAAAGTCCATTGAACTTTCCATATTTATTTGCTGAAAATGATCCACCTTTCCCCTTCCCTTCATTCGAACCACCCGTCCCCGTTCAAGCAGCCCTTCAAGAAGAAAAGAAAAGTACCATCAATCTCAGACCACCCCTCTATACAAGTTCCTTTTACCACCCAAAGAGAGAGAGAGAAACAACAACATCCCCCACCCCAAACCCTCCTAATTTTCCACCAACTGTCCCCTTGGATTTGTGATTAATACACGGTGTCGAGCTGAGAAGATGCCCACCTCATTGAAATTCCATTCAGCCGCGCGAAAAACATTTCTCGAGAATCCCTCCATCTGTCATATACTGAAGAAGTTCTCTTGCTCCCTGCCCTCCAGATTACAACCTCTCTCGACACCCTTAATATTGTTCCCCTCCAACATCCCTAGGCCGGCGTGAAATAAAAGGAAAAAGAAAAGAAAAGAAAAAGAAAAGTATATGCAGGACATACATCAGACGCCGACCCCAATGCAATTATTACCAAGGGCTGTGTGAGAAAGAAACAAGAATTCGTGCCGTGTATCGCACTGTGCGTATGTACTGCATGCCCGAATCGAAAAAGGACCAAAAAAAGCAGGTTTGTGTACCCCCGAAAGCTCCCAAAGTCTAATTCCCGGTATTCATCATTATTTTTTCCACCGCAGTGGATGCTCATCATGTTCTTTCCGTCTCCAGTCAAAAGTCCATTAAAGCGAAGTAAAAGGTGGAAGAGTTTATGCAAATTGAAAGACGATCAGGTCGCGAATCGTAGAAAAAGACCTGGTGGAAAATATTAGGTTGAGCTGTGAGGCTTGTCTTTATCAAGCGTCTCCAGACATATTGTGATGCTGTGCTTCAAACATGACCGAAATGGACCTTTTAACTCCTTTTTGTATTACCGTACGCCGATAGTTGGTCGTGGCCCCAAGCTGCTCTGGCTACTATGGGCTGAGGGTTCGGAGTCAATATTGGCGCTATCACCACTCCCCGCGCTGGCGCTTGCACTACCCGTCAGACTTCGAACATTATTTGGGCCTTTAGGCGGGTGTAGGGCGCTCACCCCTGCATATTGCTCAACCTGTTGAGGTGCAACTGAATTTCCTTGACCCGGTGGATGACGTGGGACTGGTTGTCTCATGTTTCCAGGTGGTGAAGGTCTTCCATTGCCGAATCCGTTTGGCGGAGAAGGTCTGCCACCCCCTCTACCCATCGCAGGGTTAAAAGGATGGCCAGGCGATTGACTGGCTCTTCTTGGGCGGTGTCCCGGGCCTGGTGATGCTCCCCCATATTGTAGTTCGTCGAGACGTGCCGCAGTCAACGAATTGCTCCTCGACTCCATCCCAATCTGAGCTCGATCTACAAGGCCGTATCGATTCGATGAGTACCCCATTAGGGGGTCATCCATCAGATTATCGTGGAGACCTGGGATACCAGCGCTGGCAATTCTGGCACTAGACCGATTGTTCCTCGGCATGCCTGGTCGCATGAAACCGCCTCGCCCTCGGGGTGTTGGTACATCTCCGAACTCGGGGTTTTTGCGTATTTGTTGGGCACTCGGCGCCTTGCGGTTTCGCCGCGAGGTTACACTCATCATATCGAAATTGTCAGGGTCAATTTGAGGCAATGGAGGGGCATCTGCAGGATCGAAATAATCATCGTCATCGTCGTCGTCAAATCCGCCATTCCCGCCATGCCCACCATTCCTGATAGACGGTGTTGGAGGCCCCCGGTGAGGTCCTCTTGGGCCACCGCCCCCACCACCCCCACGGCGCATTCTCATCTCTTGCTCTCGAAGAGCAAGTTCCCGTTGTCTAAGCATTAGTTCTCTTTCGCGAAGAGCAATTTCACCACCGGGTTGACCACCCGTTTCTCCGCCATAGTTTGATTCTCCAGATTCTGGTATGTCGTCATACAGTACAAGGTGACTGAATTCTTCCAAGTCATTTGCTTCGAGCGAGCCTCGTCTTGATTGATTTCGAGGAGCCGGGAATCCATTGTTATTGCCATTGGTCATAGGCCTTGGGGGGTACCCATTAGGACCGCCATTCATCGGTGGAGGACCCCTTCGCATTCCAGGTGGAGGACCACCCATTAGAGGACCTCTTCCTCGTCCGCGAGGTGGGCCATGTGGTGGGTGATGGTTCCCATTTGGTGCACCATTCATGGGCCTAGGCGGTGGTGCAGAGGAAAGCCTTTGGGGTGGAGCCATGGTGGGCGAGGCTAATGAAGCAGGCACCGATGCAGGTACAGGCAGAGGTGCGTCCTTTCTTTGCTGATTGATGATGTTGACATTATGGAGAATCGCGTAGAGTGTCTCGATGCGTGGAACGCGAATACTAGCGGATTGTGCAAGCTTGATTGGCGATCCTAGGTAGGTCTCTACTTCCATTGGTCGTTTGGCAGCAAAATCCTGGTACATGATACTGTTGGCCTCTGTTGGCTTGAGCATCTCGGCCATAACCTTGTCCTTGAAATCGGCGGGAAACGTGCATTGTTGTGCTTGTGCGAGAGCGAGAAGCTCATCAAATACGTCCGAAACCAGTGCCTTCACGCCAACCTTTTCCAACAGAGCGGAGTGAGAAGGAGTCTCAAATATGACGCTCAGAGGATGGAAAGCAATTGGGCTATAAAACGGTACCAATTAGCATGTGTTTCTGCCTTCCTTCCACTGGCACTTACCCAATCATCCTCTCGTACTGTTGCTGCCGGATGTTAGGGGACACATGGCAATCCACTTGACCGCTACTCAATGTCATGGCTAGAGCATCGGCCATGTCATTTTGAATCGTTCCTGGCATCGCGGAATTTTTGTTGGCCGGGCCAACCCATATCTCTGTTGAGCCTTTGTGTTCAAATTCACTAGCGCCCAACTGTGTGATCTCCGCGCCGGAAACTAGAGATAAGACGACGTTGCTTGGAAACCTCGACTCCAGATGTGCTTCCACGCCCAACGTATGGGTAGTATTGACGAGAATGCATGTGTGTTGCGGGGTCACGACGGATTCAATGACGGCGGCCAAATCGTAGACATCTGGCAGAGCTTTGACGCAGAGTAGGACGTAGTCAAAGGCTCCTTCTTTGCTGCCTGCGGCATCTTCTGGTGCTCGGACAACTATTCCCCACGATTAGTATATGTGTGTTTTCCTGGATTATAAGGGGTGTAGTGCAGTACCATGTCGAGGCTTGAATCGTTCGTTTCCAAAGGACGAGGATCTAGAATGTAGTTGTCAATTGATAGTTCGGCGTATCCATCTGGCGTCGCTTAAACGTACTTGAAGGAGATACCATATTGATAGACGGCGTCAAAGCCAGATTTCCACACCAAAGTTACGTCGCAGGCGTTGGTGGCTTGAAGTCGCCATGAGAGAAAGGCTGATACCGCATTACCGCCCACTACACAAAATCGTATTAGATCATCCATTTCGCTCATCACTATTTCGTCTTTCAACCCGGGAGAATCATAGAAAGTAAAAGGGTGCTGCTGCAAGAGAGAAGACTTCGGTATGGCCGTATGGGATCAACGTGGAAAGGGTGCTGCCCAAGAGCCGCGGTCAACTCCAGACGGGAAGAACCAACCTGATAGAATCCGCAAGCGCGGAGGGGATGGTGCCATCTCGTGCGGTTATCTGCTGGGAAGAATTATTGGCCTCGGGTCTCAGAGATGCAGCGTGCTCTACCACTCGGGTCCAAGGTGCCGCGGTGTGTGGAGAGAGGGGAGATCGCCTTCTACGTCGTTGCCAAAAAGAGTGTGCTCGAGACAGGTAAATTGCTTTGCTTTTCTGTATGGTGGTGAGTCTGCCGGTAGGACGCTGGGGTAGGGAGGGCTGGAGGGCTGATGCAATCGGATGTTCGATACCAGGGTCTGGGACGCAGGAGAGGTAGGGAGTCGGGAGACGGGAGCGTTGCAGTTAACGAGCGTGACGCCGCGATCAGAGGACGATCGTCAGGCTGTGAGGGAGCAGCAGCAGAGGAGAGGAGGGTTGATTTGGAGAATCGTGGAGAGGACAATCTGAGGTGTTCTCTTTTGGGGGGG